TTTTATAGCGAAGCGCGCCAGCGGAGCACCATGGGTAACAAAAATTTGGTAAGCCGATGCCAAACGTCAAGTTATTTTGGCGGGAAAGCGTATGGCCACCCGCGTGTTGTGAAGCAGACACAACTAAAGGAGTCAATAAAGACGAGAAATGTTTCTGTATCCGTGGTTTTTTTTGTTTTTTGGGGGTTTTTTTTTTAATATTAAGCTTACACAGGAGCCGATTACTGGCTTAGATTAATTCTCATGTCCACAAATTTGGAATATAGAGAAAGAGAAAGACAGAGAAAAAGAGAAAGTAGGGCGACAGGCCAGCGAAGCTCAACGAGAAAAGGAGCAAAAGAAACATTTTCTGTTGGAGGAGCAATATGAAATTTTGTAGCGGTGGGATGCTCGCGGCCACCAGGGTCAAAATGAGCCACAGTGAAAAAAGAGTGAAAAAGAACACGACATTCCCTCCACAAAACGTGTAGTAGGAAGTTTCTGGAAGTTTCACGTAATGTACAAAAAAAAGTGTGCAGCACGTGCAAAGTTGCCTTTTTGTTAATTAGACCTATTTTTACCGTTCTCGTTGCCTTCGCCGCTCAGCATTAACGATTTTATATTTTGTTTGAGCACTGACTATAAAAATTATTGAGAGCTTCGCTTTTAGCCCTGGCTACATCTATATATTAATTTACCAGACCACCTTTAATCTGGTCTGCTACGCAGCCGTTTTTAGTGTCGTCACGCAACGCTCCTCTCCATTAAAAAACATACGGCTGTTTAGCAGACTACCTTTAATCGCCTTTATCTGACTTTAGAAAGCTGTGCACTTCCCTGCTGTATGACCAAAAGACACCAAGGTATGTTTGTTCACCTTGTATATTTTGGTACTTAGGTCAAAAAATAACTTTTCATTGTAGAGAAACTGAAATTGTAACGACAACTAATTAAAGTTGCTCATATAGTTACAGTTGATCAGTGATTTGGGAGTCTGTTGAGCCGTACAATATAAGAAACGAATCGAACTATTTTGATCGCGTACCTTGTTACAAACGTTTTCCAGTCCTGTGACATTCATTATGTAAGAAGAGCGTTTAGAAAAAGTAGGACTTACCATGTCAGCTTATCCTCAGAGAAAATTATGGTCAGAACGAACCTGTAAATATATGTGACCCCTCACGCGGAAGCGTTCCTTAGGAATGAACGCACGGCAAGCGAACGTACAGCACGCACACGGATGAGGAACGGATAGCCGAGCCGTTCGAAACAGATCGGGTGAACGGATGCAGGGATGAAGAAAATGTTTGCATGGATGCAGTCAAACGGAAACATGGCTGACGAAAATTTTGAACGGATGCAGTCGAACGGATACGCGGGTGACGCCAAAATTTTGAACGGATTAGGTCGAAAGGATGAACGGCTTGTCGGCGGTGTGATGTGCCAAGTATTTTTGGAGCAAATTCTCAGCGTGAGTGACTCGGTACGTATTCAATGCATAATTTTGCGATCACGGAAGTCATTCGCATGCTCGTGTGTGAAAATGATGAATGAAAATAACTGCGTTTTTTTCAATCTATTAATTTAATATGATACAGTCTTTGAATTTTCAGTTCCTAGGCATGATTCTCTTCTTTGATCTTGAATCGTTATTCAAGTTGTGTGACCCCGGACACGACTGAAATCTGTGTCGGTTTTCAATTTCAGTCCACGGAAAATTCAATCTTGTACGTATAACGTGTATCTTGCTAATAATCTCTTTGAAAAGCTCTCCACACATCGCTTTACGCAGATTATGGTCTCCTTGAAAGGAATTTTCCATCATTTTAATAAAAGAACAACACCGCCATATCAACTCTTGTCAAAGGTAATGTATCGGTCAAATCGAAGCTTCAACATGCCCCCCCCCGGGCATACCTCGGGCATTTGACACCTTTGCCGTCCCGGGGAGGAGGGAATTTGATTATCAGAGTCTTCCAGGGGGTGGGGAATTTGATCCCCTTGCTTTAGGGGTGGGGAATTTGAACTGCACCCTCGATTTCAGGTAAATTTTTGGCGTGGCGAGCTCTCATGGGGGACGCGTTGTTAGAGGATTTTCGTGGAAAAGATTATGCCTTTGTGGCCAATTGGTTGCGAGGAAAGGACTTAAACAAGCTTTGTGCCGTATTTGAAGTATTTAAATTTTAAAATTTTTAACATTGGATTCAGGCTTTGAATGTATGAATGTATTTTATTGTTGTGTTTACAATGAAATACAATACCTCTACCGGCGATTCAATACAACAACATAAAATAAAATAAGATAAAAAGCTCAGGTCAACTACTTTGATCTACTGCAAGTATGTTAATTAATAAGGTGAACGATGATGCATGTCAGAGAAATGGTCATGATGTAGTAATCTCAATAGGTGGGATCTTTTTTATAGAACGCGTTGTATGTTGCATGACGAAGAAAAGCTGAGCATTCAGTGACCTTGTAACAGCGATTTCCGCCGCTTTGCACGAGACTTTTGTTCGTAGTAAATACGCTAACAGTGTTTCTCAGTTTTTGTTATGTTTATAAATATTTTGTTCGACAACTGAAGCTGTTTCCGCCGTCCTTCTGTCATTTTTGTGCCTGTGAAATGTCCCCGGGATGGCGGCATTTGATCACCTGAATGGACCCTAGTGTGGGGCATTTGAACGGTATTTTGGCCCGGGTAGGGGGGGAATTTGAACAATAATTTTCAAAAAAGTCAAATGCCCGGGGGGTTGCCCGGGGGGGCATGTTGAAGCTTCGATTTGACCTATGCATAAAGCGTGAAACATACAGCTATGTTGTGCCGCGAACTTTCGATTTCAAGCAAGTGCCGTAGAAATATTAAACGACTTACTTCAAAAAGGTAAAAAAGGAAAACGGTGAATCAAAACGATGGTAGTAAAAAGGCATAGATTTTTTCCAGCAAGAAAAAGCTAGCAGGCTTGGAATGAGCCGACAGTGTGTATTCTACCAGGAAATATCATATCTTTTGATCTCGAATTGTTTTGCGTTCATTTTTTATTTATTTATTTATTACAATTTAATGGCAATAAATTAAATTAGTGATGGACATAACATAGATAAAAAAAAATTTAAAAAATGCCATAAGGACATGATTTGCAAAAGAGTTACAGCGACCCCATATAAAAACAAATCTCCTTATTTAAAGTAGATTATGATACAAAATATAAAAATATATATTGTTGGTTTTCACATGACGTCTCTAAAATTCAAACTACAAAACTATCGATCCTACTGAGATTTTGCTTTCATGGTGTATTAGAGCAGCCGAAAACTAATTATCAAACAAACTTTCGCATCAAAAGGTTTCTTGGTTTTGTAATAGAGTACGCTTGCATTTCTAAACTTTTGCGTGACGCAACATTTACATGACCACCGAGAGAGCTGTCATTTAGGTTAAAAAAGTGACTTTTTTCGAGGAATTTTGCTATCTAAACTGTTCAAGTATTAGAAAAAGTATTACTTTAATGTTTATGAGTTCCTCTAGGAGTAAATTCACGCTTTTGTAGCAAAACTCGGTAACAGATCAGGGGCACCCAACGAGAATATAGTTCAAAACCACTTAAACATAGCATTGTTAAACGTATTTTAGTATTTAAACGGTAGATATAGGCATACTTTTATCCCCTAAAAATATTTTATCTGTTCGGATTTCCTAGCTGAAAGTCTAGTGATCCGAAAATTATAGGGATCAAAACTTACCTTTCCGAAAATTTCAGCCAGAAAAAAGGCTCCCGAAAATTCTAGGTGACCTTTTTAGGGTAAAAATCGGTTAAAAATGGGCAATTATACCATTTTTTGGATGTTCGAAAATCCTAGGAGAGGCAGGGAAGCAAGAAATTTTACCACAAATGTTCCGAAAATTCTAGATCTCAAATCGTCTTCCGAACAGATATTTTCCGAAAATTGACGTTGGGTGCCCCTGCCAGATGTTCCTGTTGGTTTCCGTCCACCATGTTGGAGCTCATCCCGATGAGCTCCAGCATGGCGTCTCCATACAAAGCCTTTTAAAGTTGGGTAAAACATTTCCTCGGATATCTCGTATACGAATTATTCCTTCGACCCAAATCTTGGCGAGGGTCTTTGTCTATTTACTTCCTTTCATTTCCCAGATTCTGGACTTTATCTGTCGAATGGTTTTGATTTTTATTTTGATCTATTTTGAATGGCGTGACACTGAAAACTAGCAATATAAAACGATACTACCTGTAGCAATAACATTACTTAAATATTGTTGGTTTTCAGTGTCACGCCATTCAAAATAGATCAAAATCAAAACCTTTCAATAGATAAAGTCCAGACATCTGGGAAATGAAAGGAGGTACATATACAAAGACCCTCGCCAAGATTCAGGTCAGAGGAGCATTTCGTATACAAGATATCCGAAGAAATGTTTTACCCAAACTTATAGAGATTTGTATGGAGACGCCATGCTTGTGCTCACCTGCATGAGCTCCAACATGGCGGACGCTAGCCTGCGTAGCATGGCGGTTTTGGCTGGGCGCTCTAAGTAATAAAGGCGGGCTAGGGCAGAGAAACCGCGAGGAGATTGGGGCGGGAGCAACTTGAAAAACCTATAAGCCTGGTGGTTTCGTGCGAGGTCTCCTCGGCAAAGCAAATTAAATGTAGCTATAAACCTGGTGCGCTGTAAGGCCAATAAAATGGTAATGATAGTGATGACTTGACAACGACGACGACGACGTCGGACTGACATGAATAATGTTGACTAACTCTATGGCATGCATGGATTTCAGGGCCACCGTATAATTTTACGGGTGTCTCACGTCCATAATTGAAACATACAGGCACCCTTACTCAGGTCTTAAATTGAAGATTTAAAGAGGATGGAGTGAGAAATCACCTAAGATAATATGAGTACCGTTATTTTAGTATTCAATCGTTGGCGACTAGTTGATCAGAATCGGCTCACAACATGCTAATTTAACCTTTTTTTTTGCAACTTCGCGCATTTCAATTCAAGAATGAAGATCTCACTAATGGTCTTGGTGATGGTAATTATCCCTCAAATATTCGACCCAGGTGAGTTCTGTGCCACATTTGTTGATCCACGTGTTCTGTTCTCTACTTTGGTCAAAAATGAGGTTTTGATTCTATAAGGGTTATAGTTAGGGAACTGTATAGCATACCATTCAAAATGTATAAAATGAAACTTTTCAGAGGCTTTGCTTCAGGGGCACCCAACGACAATTTTCGGGAAAATATCTGTTCGGAAGACGATTTGACATCTAGAATTTTCGGAACATTTGTTGTAAAATTTCTTGCTTGCCTGCCTCTCCTAGGAGTTTCGGACATCTAAAAAATGATATAATTGCCTATTTTTAACGGATTTTTACCCTAAAAAAGTCACCTAGAATTTTCGGGAGCCTTTTTTCAGGCTAAAATTTTCGAAAAGGTAAGTTTTGATCCCTATAATTTTTGGATCACTTGACTTTCAGCTAGGAAATCCGAACAGATGAAAAATTTCCAGGGGATAAAAATATGCCTATATCTACCGTTTAAATACTAAAATACGTTTAACAATTCTATGTTTAAGTGGTTTTGAACTATATTCTCGTTGGGTGCCCCTGTTGCTTTAGGATGTGCGCGAACAAATGCATGGTTACCTTCTACTTTGTATCAATCATTTATTGAAATGACACCTCATGGATGGCATTAAGGTCATGTTACACGAGACGATTAGCAACGACGATTTTTAACGCATTGTGGCGACATTGTTTCGAATGGTTACAACATTGTTCCAACATTTCAACACTGTGTTGCGCCAGTAATTGTCGTTGTGTAACGTCATCTTTAAAAGCTGGCGCCAAACTTTAGAAGTCAGAAACTATCCTCCCAAACCGAAAATTAAATATTCTGAGAAAACGTCAGGGAAAATATCATATAAAACAGTTATAAATATTCTGAGAACATCTAAGGAAAAAGCACTTACAGTTTCGAATATAAGCAGCATAGGTGTGTAAAGTTAAAGCAGAAACTCATACAAAGGGGTTGAAACGTGTAACTCGTGATCAATGCTCGCGAATATTCATTCTTCTGTAAGTATCATATTTGGAGACCCTTGCTGCGGCCTCAAAAGAGCAATCGGTTTAACATCAACTTCGCACTTGCATAACGCTTTTTTGAACATTTCTTTGCCGTCACTGTAAGACTACGACGTGAAACTGCCTAATTTTCCTTTTTGTGGAAGGCGAAAACACAAGACAACGACTTTCTTTTTTCTTTCTTGAACTTCGGTACAGTTCTTTAGAATTCGACTAGAGAGAAATTTGCTATTACTCGATCTTGTCGTCTCGTTCCAAATATGGTACTTTTGAAAATGAATACCGTTTGCGAGCATCGGACAAAGCAAACATATGAGTAACACATTTCAATCCCTTATGGGTTTCTGGTAATAGATAATAAACGATGTATAATTTCTAACTGTTCTGACAACTGACAAGGCATCATATTTCCTCATCAGTTTCGTCCCTGCAGTGTCACGTGTGTATCAGCTCGCTTTCCTGGAAGGACTGTGCCGAGTCACAGGATCCTTTAAGTTGTTCGTCTGCGGGGGACCAGTACTGCTACTATCACAGTATTCAAACAAACGTGGGCGGCTACGTAATGAAAGCATTCGCTAAGGGATGTACCTCATCTGATAAATGCAGTCCAGAAGCCATTACGTCTTGTAAAAACACCCAAATTCAACATCAACAAATGGGAATCAACAGTGTGAAGTGCTTTCTCGATTGCTGCCAGGGCGATTTGTGCAATTAAAAAGGAGAGAACGAAAATCTCGACAGTTTAAACACAGCAACAATTAATTAGAGTCGTACGCATAAAATAAGTGTTCAACTAATATAGAACCAAAAACGAGAAGTCCAAAGACTACTGGAAAACTGATCAGAACAACGTCTATTGTTTTTTCATAACAATATTTCGGCTGGCCATACCAGCCTTCTTCAGTAACATCTGTAAACCTGAAGAAGGCTGGTATGGCCAGCCGAAATATTGTTATGAAAAAAAAATAGGCGTTGTTCTGGTCAGCTTTGAAGTAGTATTTGGACTTCTCATTTTTGGTTCTTGATCTGCGTCCACGGTTTTTGCAGTTGATTTAATTCCTTAGAAAATATAGTGCGCCTTCTCAGAGGGGCACTGAAAAAGCACGAAAGGAAAATTATTAAAATAAAGCAAAAAATAGAATTTAATGAATGCACTGGTCATTTTTAACTATTGCTTAAAGGCACGTGCAGGGCCTTAATGGAAACTTCGCCACCTTTATTAGGCCTGGCCACTTCGAGCTGGGAAGCAGCGATGGACCTTCTTTTTTACACTGAGGTGCATATTCTTTTAGTAGAGACCTTATGGTATTTTAATACCATAATGTTAAAACATTCGCTTTTGTATCTTCGGCTGCTGCTAATTTTCTTTACAATAGTTGTTGATAACGTTTTGTCGAAATGAATTTTCTTTTTTCTTGGGGGGGGGGAGTGTTTTCTTGGTTAAAAAAACTTCGGGTCAAGGAAATTTGGCCGTATCAACGTGTTACTGGGTCAAATTGTGATGCAAACCCTCTTTACATACCAGTGTTCCTGATTACTGAGGCTAGAAGCAGCAACTTTAAAAAGATAAACTGTTCACAGTCCCCTATTTTTTCGGGCGGCCATCTTTGTTTTATATCTACCGAGAGGCCTGGCGTTGGAGTTTGTAGCGGTCCCCCACTCTTAAGTAGATTTGGCACTCATCCAAGAGGCTGTCCGAAACGCGAAGTCTTCGATCCCGACGATCTTACGGAAAAATAGGGGACTGTGAACAAACTAAAAAGACGAATAAAAGGGTTAAAAATATTCTCCTTACAACAAGAGACTTTCTCAAAGGAATCGGCCAGTGGTTGTTAAAGCGTGGATGATATCCTCGGGTGGGGGAGGGGTGGGTGGTACTCCCTTGTATGACCTATACGGGAATGTGCCGCTGGACAGGGTAAGGGTTTCAAACCCTCATAGTTTGAAATGGTCTCTTTATGTGATCTTTTAGTGGTCAAAAAAGGTTGGGCCACGTCCACATTGCGCCTCCTTTAGGGGTTTAATTCAAAATTTCAGACGAGCATCCCCGCGCCATGTAGTGAATTCAGACTTTTTGAAAAATAATATGAAGTTGAAAGTGCTTGACTTCCGAAATTTTGTCCCTTTTTTTCTTATTTGCCTATTGAAATCGCGAAATTAAAACCGTCATGAAATATTTTCTCGCCAAAATCGCAAAATTAAGTACCTTCGAATTCAAGTACCAACGAGTTAATAAACCACCGCGCACAGTTGATTCACGATTAGGAGGCTAATTATATTTTTGATATTTCCTTTGACCTGAGGTCTTTGCTGACGAAAATCGGTGGCAGTCGACAGTGCTGATCTAATGACTGGGATCACAAATTTACCTTTTAAACTTTTATCATAATTTGATTAGCATTTACTCAGGCTGTGTTTGACAAACATTGAACTTAACTAACTTCCAATTCGATATTTGTTGCCCGAAAATAAATAATTAAACAACCCGCAAAAACAAAGGCTTTCAGTTCTAGGCGCACTGGGTAAATATTTGAAGAAATAATAAACTAGCCGATTGCTCAGTTAAAAAAGAAACAATAAAAAGCTAGATAATAGAGCATTAATTACGCAAAAAGAGCAAATAAGAGACCTTATTAGTACTTATTTTACATGAGCACGGATTCCTTTGTTCCTACCGGGGGAAACACATTACATTACCCCCGAATCAACTGTCTGAAAAGCTGGGTGCGGCTTTGATTGTTTGAAGGGAAGAGGGGGGCTAATGAACAGCTAATTAATTGTCTCCCCTGCATATTAACACATAATCCCCTCGCATTTTGATTAGCGTTTCATGAAGAACAAATTTACAAACGTTTATTGGAAATATTACAATTACTAAAATTAAATTTAGCTGCACTTCTTTTGCGCCACATTCGCGCATTTTCTTTGTTGGTGGTTCATTGTTTTCCACAGCCAGAACGAACAGCTAGCGTCCACTGTTTAGAGCTACCATGAAAGTGTCGTTGTCATGGTACGGCGCTCCAATATTTAACCCAGTGCATCCCAAGCTCGAGTACTCCATGTAGTTGACCACTTTGTGTTTTGTGGTATTCTTTCTTCACTTGCCTCGACTGGATTTCCTTGTCACAGTAGTTATCCCTCGTCTGGAATCTTCTTTATCTGTAAACAGGTCGCCAAATGCTTGCTAGTTGTCGCACCCGCAAATGAAGATTCAAAGTTGTTGTCTGAAAGCTCACTTGCAGTACCGCCACTAACGCTGCTTTAATTTGAGTGATAAAAGTTTCTACTTCTGACTCTCAATCGCTCGACACTGCAAGGCTGTTTCTAGCATTCACTACGAATAACAAATTCGAAGCAAGTGCAACTTTGATAAACTAACATAATTAAAAAGCCGGAGAAACTTGTGAATGCCACCAGGGCCGGCATAGAGTTGAAAAACAAAAGAAAGAATAGTAGAGGCTTTTTTTTTTTTCAATGTATTTTTGCATCCCTTGAGGAATCCTCGCCAGCGTAAAAATAAGCCGTTTATCGGCCTTCAGCTCGTGGTTATGTGAGTTAATCCTCTCGGCCGTTGCCTAGCGCACGTCGGGAATAAATCACATATAAACTCCTCGTTTCAGGCCAATAACCCTTACTTAACTTCGCGGGTCGTTAATTTCCTGTTTTTGCGATAGTAACTGAAAGTTTACACCTTATGACCAAGGAAAAAAAATCCTTGCGAAATTCAATACCCATATAGAAAATTCATATCGTAGAAAAGAAAAAACACAATATAAGATATACCGGATAAAGTATCAACAAATACGCAAATTAGTTACTGGTTTTTAACTGGTTCAAAGATCTCTATTTTGTATCTTCTGTTATGAAAATACAACTATTTTAATTTGCAAGCATTTCACATATGCAATTTAGGTAACAAATTACAATTAATTATAGCCTGCGTAGCAGGCGCTTGGAAGTAGCGGGCGAAAGAGAGAACGGGCGCGCGCGAGGGAGACACGCAAGGGGTGAGTGAATATGTGATGGTTTAAGCCAAACAGTTTCTTATAAATTTTCTGGTACCATTTTATTCTTTTGCGGCTTTTTAAATGGGTAGGTGTCTTTATAGATGAAGCTATAGGTCCCTCGTGTTCCCATCAGCTAGGCATAGCCCTTATAACCCTGGCCTATGATCAAGTGATGTTTAGCAGTTGTGCTGATGACGAAAAGACGCGTTCTTTATTTCACGTCTCTATAGGTGATAATCTCTACATAGTATTATGACATAATTGTTAAAAATTCAGTCTGCTTTTTTTTAGATTTATCTTTCTTTTCCACTTCATTACTTCTCGCCTCGTTTAGCGGGTGGCGGGAATTAGTTCCTCTTTTCTTCTCGGTCTACCTATATTCGTTGTAAACTTTTTGTCGTGTAATAAATTGCTGTTGTTGCCGTTTGCTTTGAAGGGGATACTCCTGCCTTACTTCGTTGCGTACCTTTGCTTGTCGACACCTGACGATACTCACGTCACGAAGAAACCTGCTAATATGATCTTTAATTTGGTATTACATTATTCGCTAAATATGGGGGATTCTCTCTATAATGGCTTTTTTGGTCTGAACACGGGTATACACTTTGCCCATTTTGGTATGAAATCGGGTATGGTTTTCGAGGGAACTACAGGAGGGAATGAATGTATTTATCCTTTCAATTCCAAAAGATTAAGAAAGAAAGAGAAATATACGAATTCGAAATGGATTTTAAGAAAACCTTTTGGTTGCTGTTCTAATCTAAGTAATAATGACATAATTTCCTATGGCCAGGTGTAAAACGGGTATGGAATTTAGAGGCCAGGTCTAAAAACGGGTGTGAAAATGATAGTTTTTGCTCTGAAATAGGGTCAGGATTTGGAGAACCTGGCGGCACACCCCCACCACGAATGCTCAAATTCCCCCCTGGGTGAAAAGGGTGGGGACTTTCACTTTAGTTGGAGCTTATGAAAGGGTGATTGGTTGAAAAACTGACACAACTATCATATGACTTGAAAACAATAACAATCTGATGACTCATTTCCTCGGGAAACCCCCCAACGCATTTAATCAGTACATCATCGACTTCCCGTTTTTCTGAGAATGTCACGCTATGTCGTACTTAATGCTAGTCAACCGCCTTTAACCATCAGTTGCCTATGCATCTCAATCGATGTTGGCAGTTCTACGTTATACTACTTCTCAAACCTCGTCAGTCCTCAGCTACAACAAAATGGCGATACTTTTTGCATTTCCTCGTTTGAATTTCCAAACACTTTTCAAGGTTAGTAATCAGTTTCTCCCAATTTGGTTCGTTGTTTGGTTTCTAGCCTTTCGGTTTTCACAGAATTGGACGGCATAATCCGAATTAGAGGGAAGCAAATCGATCCTTTGTGTCAAACCATCGCTCGCAGACATGCACATGGTAGTTACTAAGACAGCCTCTTAAAAGAGGCTGTCTTAGTAAAAACCGCCCACTCAATCATGATTTCGCGTGAAAAATAATTTCCCCTGAAACTCTGGCAAGTGAAAGGCTTTACCCTATGGAGTTCCATCCCCTCCAAAAATCAAAGTACATCACTTCTGATTCATCTTGAGAGTGTAACATTTAACTTGACAAAGATCAACATTAGATTTTGCAGTTCAATTTTGTAGTCCTTAAGACAATCGTTAATTAAAAACTTTAGACTTCAGCTTTATTAGTGAGAG